AGGCAACCCCTGAGTGGATTGGGGGTGTGAAGCAAATGAGGAAAAATACTCCCCAATTCCGGCAAAGGAGTGCAGGGATAGATTGGAGCACTTCCTGAGGAAGGTAAAGTGACTGGAGCCAAGGGAGCCTGAGTGTTTAGACTCCTCCAGCCCAGCGGCTCCACTCGTCCCGTCCCGTCTCCCCCCCACCCCGCCCCCCACTTCCCCTTCTCTCTCTTTTCAAAGGATCAACACTTTCCCACAAGTCTAGCTGCGAGGTCACGTCATTCATCATCCTCTACACTGGGGGGTCTCCGGCAGACACACATCTGCAGAGGAGAGGAGGAGGTACGGAGACGTCCTCCCATCCAGGATGGGGGCAGGGCGGAGAGCGGGAGGTTAGTGAAGACTTGCAGCTGCCGGCTCTGCTGAAGGACAGGGGGTGGTCTAGAGGATGAAGCACACCCCGCAGCCAGTGCAAAGGCCAGAAATAGAGTGGGATAGGAGGATTAAAAGAAAAAGCCTTAAAGGTTAAAACATGGGTGTTATTACAGAGCTGGCGATAAGGGTCCGAGAGTCTGAGTCTTTGCTCCAACATAGAGAAAACAGCTTGAACTTCTGTGTTACTGAAATTACTCAAATCTGGCCGGATGGGGTGGTGCACACATTTAATTCCAGCTATTCCTAAGGCTGAGGCAGGAGGATTGCCCCGAGTTCAAAACCAGCCTTAGTGAGAGCACGAAGCCAGCCAGGATCACACAACAAAACCAGTCAAAAAAATTACCCAAATATGAATCGTCTGCCTTTTGATAGGCCTGTGCCTGGAAACAAGAGATCTGGTCCATCCTCTGGTGTTGGTACCCATCCCTCAAGTTCTGAATACAGATTTAATGGGGGTGAAGAATAAAGAAAGGCATAGTAGTCTGTGGCTACGTACATGTAGCTACATTCAGTAAACTGCCCCAGTCCATGGCTGAACATCCTGGTGCATTTAGTGAAATGGGTTTCCTCTAAGTGCTGTTGTACTGGTATCCACACAAGTATTCAAATAAACAAGCTAGCCAGATGGGACGGCTCACCCTGCAACACTGAGGAGGCCAAGACAGGATCACCAAGATAGGATGCCCATGGGTCCAAAGGCTAGCCTTGGTGATATAAGTGTGCCACCCCCCACCCCCACCCCAGCCATGAGATTAAGGACTTGGGTGATGGCTCAGTCAGTAAAATGCTGGTTTGGAAAGCATGAAGATATGAATTCAAGTCCCAGAACTCACATCAAAAAAGCCAGCTATAAACCAGGAAAGGGGAGTGGCACACACCTTTATCTATGAGTTTGAGGCCATCCTAGTCTACAGAGCAGGGTAGCCAGGGCTACACAGAGAAACCATGTCTGGGGGCCAGAGGACAGCTACAATGGCACATGCTTGTATCTATTTCAGTGCTGGAAGGAGATAGACACCTGGGGACTCTGGTCACTCAGGATACTCTACTTGGCAGTTGAATGAGAGACTGTATCTTTAGAAAGAAAATCTGGGTTGGAGACATGGCTCAGTGGATAACGGCAATTAATGCCAAGCTTGGTGACCTGTAGGACCAACATGGTGGAAGCAGAGAACCGACTCCCGAAGTTGTCTTCTGTACTTGCATACACACTGTAGTGCATGTACACAGAAAATGTAATAATTTCTTAAATAAACACAGTGGGCAGCTTCTCAGGCGTGACAGTCAAGACTTCCTATGGCCTCCGCACCCTCACCCATACATACAGAAACAAAGATCAAAGTGAAGTGTTACGTATCAAAGTCTCAGTCATCGAAGGCTGGTACTGAACTCACTATATAGCTGAGGATGACTCTGAATATGTACTCCTCCCCCACTCCAACCTTCTAGTGCTCCAATAAATAGCTGGAGCCACCACACCCAGTAGCATAAAACTTCTCTATGGGCTGGGTGTGGAGCATGCTTGCAATCTCAATACTGAAGAGAGGCAGAGGTATAGTAGTCTCTGTGAGCACCAGATCAGCAAGGGCACAAAGTGAGACCCCATCTCAAAACACACACACACACACACACACACACACACACACACACTAAAAACCACCAACCACTTTTGTTTGCATTATATATAGGTTGAGCCATATAAAAGCATTATTTTACAGGTCAGGAGGGTGTAAAAATCATTGATTTTATCTGCTGTATGTTTGCACTGGGTGACAATATTCATTGCATTGTTTACTGTGAGTCACAGTCCAAAACCATGAGCAGTACCAAGATATTTGTGATTACGTACACATACACACAACATAGTTTAGTCACTGAATCTGATATAGGAACTAGGATCACTCCTTGCTCCCATCTCCCAATAGTTTTCTTCCCCCCTCTGGTTTGCACCACAGGTACTGTAACATATGGAATACATTAGCTTAAGAGTCAGAATAGGTCAGATACAAAAGTAGATTCTGAAAGGGGCTATGGACCACAGATAGAGAGGGGGTGGGGAGTCTGAAATCCACAGCCCTGTGCTTTCATTCCCACCTAGCTTCCAAAGAATTTGGGGTCCTTTACTGCACATCTACAGTGGGAAGTATCTGGGGAGAACCCTACCCTGACCTCTGCTTTCCTTCTGGGGAGCTGCTCTTTCTCCTGAGTTACTGTGCTGTGTCACAACCTACTTAGGGTGACTTCATTCACATAACCCGTTGTCACCACAGAAGAGGGAGACCATGTCAGATGACTGCAGGTTCCGGAGCCAAAGCCATTGATGAGGATAGACTAAAAATTGGAATCATGGGGTTAGAGAGAGATGGCTGCTCTTGGAGAGGACCGGGTTTGGTTCCCAGTACCCACATGGCAGCTCACAGCCATCTGTCACTCCAGTTATATGGCATGCCTTCTTTGGTCTCTGTAGGCATCAGACATATGTGCTACACAGACACATATGCAGGTAAAACACCCATGCACATAATAAGAAAATCTTTTTGCAGAGGCAGGTGGATCTCTGCGAGCTCAAGGCTAGCCTGGTCTACAGAGCTCTTAGTACACACCGAAACCCTGCCTCAAAACAAAAACAAAAACAAAAAACAAGCCAAATCTTTTTTTTTTTTTTTTATGGATTAATGGGGTGAGAGACGTAGCAGTTTGTAGAGTACTTGCCTAACCAGCATGACATAAACCAGGCAGAGAGGTATATACCTGTAATCCCAGGACTCTGGAGCTGTGTTAAATCTCAATCCCTGAGACAATGGGCTGAGGTACCTATTTAATGTCTCAAAGTGGACCTGGCCACTAGGTTCTCCCAGCATCCCTCAGTCCCCGCCTGTTACATGAATGGCTGGGATACCCTGCCCACCATCCTGAACTCTTACTCTTCAGCCCAGGGGCAGGCTGGCCTCCCCACAGAGGCTCTTCTATATAATCCAGCCATTTTGGGTGCTTGTACTTTTTTGTACCTTTGGCCTCATGGATGCTGCACCTGGTTCCCCTTTCTTCCCTTTTCCTTCATCTCTCTCTCCCTTCACATCCCAGCTCAGTCAGGGCCACATCCACTCTGGACTGTCCCAGATGTCCCTGCCTCTGGCTATGCTCTCCCTTTACCTACAATAAACTTTCTACTCCACTGTACCTAGGAAGTCATGTTCCTTTCCTTTTTACTTCTTTTTTCATTCCAAGTAGAAGCAAGAGTATTAGAGGAAAGTCCAAGGTTCTCCTCAGCTACATACTGAGTTAGAAACCAACATAGAGTATACGAGGCCCTGGATTAGCAACAAAATTCATAGATGTGTTTTATTTGGATAACATTTGCATTTTAAAGTAACATTATTACATCTATTCCGTGTGTGTGTGTGTGTGTGTGTGTGTGTGTGTGTGTGTGTGTGTATGTTCACCTGTGCATGCAATACACACCACAGTATTCAAGAGTCAGCTCCACATGTTGCCTTAGTTCCAAAACAGATCCAGTGTCCTCTTCTGACCTCCTCAGGCACCAAGCGCACACATGGTATAGAGATACACATGTAGAGAAAACAAAAATATCAATTAAAAATGTGTAAATGCCAATCACGGACTAGAAAGGGCTCGGTGGTTAAATGCTCGCTGCCCTTCCAGAGGAACTGAGTTGGCTACACAGAAGATCCTGGTTAAGATTTTTAATTGGGAATGGTGGCACATGCTTGTCATCCCAGTACTTGGGAGGTAGAGGTATGAAGATCAGGAGTTCAAGAGCAGCCTCAGCTACGTAGCAAGTCTAAGACCATTTGGAGCGCACTTGAGATCCTGTTACACAAACTACAAACAGCTTTACTTTTGAATAGGCTGACTCTCCTAACACTGGCACCCTTCAGAGATAGCAAAGTTGTGAAGAGAGTCCTCAGATTAAGTTCAAGCAGGCAGAGAGAAGGAAATACCAAGTAGAAAATAGGTGTGAAGATTGAGGTGGGGGTCAGGTAAGAGGATCTGAGGGGCTACCTTTTTTTATGCAGCTGAAGGTGGCATTGTACTTTTTTGTTTTTTTAATTAAAAAACCTAGTTTTTATTATTTTGTTTATGGGTTTTTTTATGTATATATGTCTGTGCTCTATGTGTATGCCTGGTGTCAATGGAGGCCAGATACCCTGGAACTGGAGTTACAGATGGTTGTGAGCAGCCCAGTGGGTACTGGGAATTGACACTGGGTGCTCTGGAAGAGTAGCCAGTGTATGCTCTTAACCACTGAGCCACCTGTCCAGTCCCATGCCTTGACCCTCCTGCCTCTATTGGACAGATTCTGGGATTACAGGAATATATCTCCATGCTTGGGGATCTATGGCTGGGGATCGAATTCAGGGCTTCATGCATGCTAGACAAGTACTCTATCAATGGAGTATTTTTATTTATTTTTGGCTTTTTGAGACAGAGATTGGCTAGGTAGCTCTGGCTGGCCTAGAGCTCACAATTCTCTAGCCTCTGCCTCCTGAGGCACTTTCCAAGTATATAGAATATTTTAAACTCCGTAATATATATTCTCTATATGTGTACTCTTTATATACTCTCTCTGTATTAATGGGGGAGGGTCTGATCCCCTGAAACTGGAATTACAGCCAGTTGTAAACTGCTGCTTATATGGGTCCTGGGAAACTGAAACCCAGGTCGTCTGCAAGAGCAGCCATTGCTCTTAGACCTCCTGGCCTTCCTAGTTTTAAAGGGATTCAGAGTCTGAATATGTCATTAACCCCTTTTCTGGTTCTCCATGTCCATCATACTTTTACATTCCCTGAGTGTGGGACCAAGTCACCAGCAAAGAATAAGAGACCATCATACAGGTTAAGAACTATCGCAAAACGTCTGTGAACTGTGGATAATCCTCTGCATACCCTAGTAGATGAAATGAAGTCACATTGCCCCTTCTCATCAGCAAGAGAAATAAACAAAGAACATCATTCATGAGCAAATGCAGTGAAGTCTTACAAACGGGCTGTAAAAAAGGCTTCTTTATTGAGAGCAGCGAGTGTAAAAAACAAAACATAAAACAAACAAACAATAACAACAACAACAATAAAAGTATGAGGCAGGGGTGGCCCACCCTCCCCAATTCCTCTAAGGTCCACCCAGACCTCCCCATGCCCACCCACCCACGCTGCAATTACATAAAAAAGCCGCCCTGGTGCATACAAAAAGGGCGGGCTATATAAGTGTCAAAAGCCCCTGAACACTTCATCTGCCAGGCACTTGGGATGAGGGAAGGAGATTGGAGCATGGGTCTGGGTTAGTGTGCACAAGCCCACAGTGGGGAGGACTCAACTGCTATGTCCTCCACAATCCACTAGACACCCCAGGCAGGACCCATGGGCCAAGAGGCCTGTTGGTCCTGTATGCCCAGAGCTATCCTGAACTCTCGTATATTACTATATTAAAAAAAAATTCCCCAAACCTAGCTCAGCCCAAGCCCAGCCCTCCCTAGGCAACACTGGCAGATGAGTGGCAGAGCTGGACCTGGCCAAAAAAAGGCTCAGGCCAGAAATCGGGGTTACCTGAGGCACCCATACTGTCCCTGATGAGAAAGGGGTGGCAAAAAAAGATGCCCAGCCCAACGTCTTAGTCACCCAGCTTGGGTTTGAAGGAGCCTCCCCGATGGCCAAGGCAAAGAGAAAAGCCTAGGTACTGCCTCCCCTCAGCAATGCCCACCGTGCTTGGGCAGGGACCTCAGGCCAAGAAGGACAGGAAAATCTTGCCCATCATGCTTCAGGCTCCCCTAAAAGAAGTGTTTTTCCCTGCCCATGCCATCCTGAAGCACAGCCTGCAAGGCTCCCTCACTGCTTGCTGTCTGCAGGGCTGTCTCCCAGGGTACTGGCAATCTCACTGAAGGAGGGCCGGTCCTTGGGGTTTGGGGCCCAGCAGCGCTGCATCAGCCGGTAGAGCTTGGATGGGCAGCCTTCGGGCTGTGGAAGTCGGGCCTTCCCAGCCTGCAAGTCTACAAGGCAGACGGGACAGAGTGTTAGCCCAGATGTTAAATGACTTGTCAATACCTGCTGGAGTGTGCAGTTCCCACAGTAGTCATCCAAGGGTCGCGCTGCTCTGGGGAGTACTGGTCAATAATGGGTGGGCACCACATTTTAAGGAGTATGGCAAAGATCTTATAAGACAAGGAGATAACTCTGCTCCCCCAGTTCACTCTGATTGGTAAGTGGGGTCCCTTCTGGAGCTGAATTGAATGACAGACAGCTGGAAGAGGCACTGGGGATAAGTGTTATTTGTTATCAAGTATGAAAGTATCCAAATTCAGCCAGGAGGTAGTATCCCACACTTTTGATCCCAGCACTCGGGAGGCAGAGGCAGGTGGATCTATGAGAGTTTGAGACCAGCCTGGTCTACAAAGTGAGTTTCAGGACAGCCAGGGCTGTTACACAGTAAGAAACCCTGTCTCAAAAAACAAACAAACAAAAAAACAAAAAAAAGAAAAGATAGTATCTCAGTATGTTAGTTTTGTGTTTTGAAGAACGGGGACAAACCTAGGCCTTCTCATATGCTAGCCAAGGGTCTATTACTTCCCACACAACCTGAGCCTGCCTCTTCAGTATTTTTAAAATTATTTTGGGGGTTTTGTTTGTTTGTTTTTCAATTCAGGTTTCTCTGTATAGCCTTGGCTATCCTGAACTTGGCTTTGTAGACCAGGACTGCCTCTGCCTCCCCAGCACTGGGATTAAAGGCATGCACCATCACACCTAGCTAAAATTAGTTATTTATTGGTGAGCCATCTTACTGGTATTTACGTATTTTTAACAACTGAAGAGGTCCTATCTTCATAATTGCTAAGTACCAGCCCTAAGAGAGGAGACAGGCTCAATAACCCTGGGGCCTGAGCAAGCAGAGGCAGGTGCAGAAGAGTGTGGTTACATCCAGAGTCCTCTCTCAGGAACATGGCTACTTACCTGCTAGCACTTCATCATCTGCCTGTCCACCATGGGGCATCTCTCCATGAGTGAATACTTCCCACATCAGCACACCAAAGGCCCAGACATCAGACTTGGTAGAGAAATCACCCTCCAGGATAGCCTCTGGGGACATCCAACGCAGAGGTACCCAGGCCTGGCGGAAGTGGTAGTATTCACTGCAGCGGAGAAAACACACAGGAATGGAGGTCAGAGAGGGCTAAGGCCCAGAGCTCAGCTTCATCTCAAACTAGGACCCCTGCCTGGGCCCTGCCTTTCCCAAAATAGACCTCAAAGGAATCCGCAATGTGTATGCTGAGCACAGGGGTATGTCAGAGCAACACTGGACACGGATCCACTTGAGTGAGGTTTGATGGTTTAAAAATTCCATTAAGAGGAGCTAGAGAGATGACTCATTGATTAAGAGCTCTGGCTGCTCATCCAGAGGTTCCAGGTTCAACTTCCAGCACCAACATTGTAGTTTACAACCTCCTGTAATTCCATTCCCAGGGGCCTGACTCTCTCTTCTGGCCTCCGAGAACACTAGGTGCCATATTGGTGCACAGACATACATGCAGACAAAAACCCATTCATGTAACATAAATAATAAATACAAACTCCATTAAGTGGGGCTGGAGAGATGGCTCAAGTTAAAAGCTACTCTTCCCGAAGACCTGGGTTCAATTCCCAGCACCCACATGGTGGCTCACAACCACCTCTACCTCCAGTTCCAGGAGATCTGATAACCTCTTCTGACCTCAGGCACTAGGCATGCATATGGTACACACATACATGCCAGTAACAAACACTCATAAAATAAAAACAAGTAAATCCAAAGAAAGAAAAAAAGAAAGAAAGAAGGGAGGGAGGGAGGGAGGGAGGAAGGGAGGGAGGGGAGAAGTGACCTAAGGATTTGCAAACACTATTTTGATCATCTTGAGTCTTTCTGTAGCTCCCCTCTCCAAGGAGTCTGTGCTTGTGTCGTCCTCCTGGCCTTCATCCTAGCCTATCCCTTTGCCCTCCAGCTGGTTCTTCCCTTCACTGTGCTCTTGCTTCAAGACTAAAGCGTCCATGCAGGACTCCTTCAGAACTCCCCAGCTCTCTGTGTCCTCCTCATTCACACCCCACACACACCTTCCTCTTGCCTTGGCACCTGGGCTTCCATGGGTTTGCAACACATGCAAGGGCAAGGTGGGGCTCTCATCTTCATGTGTTCCACCTGCTTCCTCCAGCAGGGAATATGGCTTCTGAGCACCCCACCTGCCCACTCTCAGACAGAGGCTAGCCTCATTTTTACTATGTATTTCTTAGATCCTGGCTGCTATTAGATTAACCAGACAAAGTGCTCAGCAGGAGGAAGCCCCCCCATGCCGCACAATGGGTTGTATTTATTTGATGTATCCATTTCTCTCCTATTAGTCTAGAAGCCTGAGGGCTAGAGCTGTAATTTCACTGTCTGTATAGCAGCATCACCAGTGGGCAGTCATGTAATGCCTGATCCTTATTTTGCTGATAACATAGTTATTTGGTGTATGGGCCCCTCGAGTAATAATGTTAGATGTTAGAGTTCAAAAACCATCTCTCACCCCGCATAATGGCAAGTGCCCATAGTCCTACCACTCAGGAGGTGGAGGCAGGAAGAGTTTGCATTTGGAGCCAGCCAGGACTTTGTGTTTGTGGTAAAGAAAAAAACAAAAAGAAAAAAAAAATCCAAACCTACAGTAACAAGAATAAAACACATCTGTGAGCCTTCAACAGCATCCGGGGCTTGCAGTAAGGGCTCAGTGGCTGTGCTCAAGCTGGGTGAGTGAAACAACAGGTGGGCAGAGCTGTGGCCTAATCCAGAGTTGGCACAAACAGCAGGGCCAGCCGGCTTCGTCTGACCCTGCTCTCCCCAGTCCTTCCCACCCCAGAGTAGCCAGGGCCCAGCTGCAGAACAGAGGCCCTCACCCCCATACTCCTCTGACCCCCTCAGAAATAAAGAAAGGAGCTGTTCTAAGGGACCTTGGCCCCTCCTCTGCCGCCTGGGGACAGAATGGGGTCTAGATGGAAAAGGGGGGCAGAGGAGGACCACACACTGCTTTCTTTCCACAGTAAAATGTGTGGGAAGCCCAAGCATGTAGGACCCAGGAGTAGGTTCCGTGGTTTACGCCTGCAGACCTATCACTGGTAAGGCCAGCCTGGGCTACATAGCAAGACCATGTGTTTTGTTTTGTTTTGTTGAAATAAGTTCAAATGACTTTGAAGCCTTCCTCCATCTTACTTTATTATATTTTATTTCATGGTACTGAGGTGGGATCCAGGGCCTAATTCATGTTAGACAAGGTTCTGCCACCAAGCTACCCCACCAGCACACAATTACTATATTTTTGTTTGTTTGTTTGTTTGTTTATTGCTCTAGAGTCAGTCTCACTATTTGCTCAGGTTAGCCCTGAACTCCAGTCTCAGGCTGGGCTCTTGCTTCACCCTCCCACAGGTATGCTAGTGTGCTATTTTATTCTAGGTGACTTCTTAACTGTCTGTGTATCTCTACACAACATTCTTTAGATGCTAGTTTTGTTTGTGGGGAGTGTTGTTTGGTTTTTTGAGACACGGTTTCTCTGTGTAGCCGTGGCTGTCATGGAATCTGCTCTGTACATCAGACTGGCCTCTAACTTACAGAGATCTGCTTGCCTTTCCTCCTGAGTGCTGGGGTTTTTTTGTTTTGTTTTGTTTTAACTTTTTTTTTTTTTGGTTTTTCGAGACAAGGTTTCTCTGTGTAGCTTTGGAGCCTATCCTGGCACTCGCTCTGGAGACCACGCTGGCCTTGAGCTCACAGAGATCTCCCTGCCTCTGCCTCTGCCTCCCGAGTGCTGGGATTAAAGGCATGCGCCACCAACGCCTGGCCTTGTTTTAACTTTTTATAGTTGGACTCACTCCATGTATATTTGTGTATGAGTGAGTGGTGTGTGTGTGTGTGTGTGTGTGTGTGTGTGTGTGTGTGTGTCTTGCTGTCTGTTCATCATTATTATTTTTCTTCCAGGCTAGTACTAGTGTGTACTCTGTCAGGCAGCCCAGAACTTCAGCTTGCCCTGGGGAAGAGAAGCACTTGATGAGTTGATGAGGATTGTCTTGTAAAGAAGAAAGCTATTCCAGGCCCAGGAAGGAGCAGACTCCCTTCTCAGAGATAGCAAGGGGCTGTAGAAGACCAGGTCTACACTCGTGCTGACAGAGAAAGGCACAACACCAGATCATCCAAGCACACTTTGTGCCTTGTGCCTGTCTGGAGCAGACATGGGTGAGCACACATGGACGTGCATACCACTACACACACTGAGAGTCTGTCAGACACGCTGCAGGAGCAGAAGCAAGGAGCGTGAACACGCAGCTGCCAGCGGGAGATAAGCCCAGGACTGGGGGGCCGCCTGCCTGGCCTGCCTGGAAAGCCACCTTGTACATCTGCCTGAGCTCCCCAGGGACAGCCTCTGCAGAGTGCTGTGTTTCAGAACAGCCTGGGCACCTTGCCCCACCCTCGAGGGCTTGTTCTATTTACAGGAATGGAGTAGCAAATTCTCTCAGTCCAAATTGGGTTGTGGCTGATGCTGGCAGGCTCAACGGGATCAGGTATTCAGTGGGTTCCTTTAGTTGTTAAAGAAATTTGCTTTAGTTGTTAATGAAATTTGCTATGAGGTACTGGGCTGGGAGTGTAATTTGGTGATAAAGTGCTTGCCTAGCATGCTTGAGGCCCTGGGTTCAGTTGATCCCTGGCTCTGTGAAAAATAAAATGATCGAGGAAAGGTAGATAATGGGAAGGAAGAGAAGTGAAATGAATTTTTTTTTTTTTTTTTTTTTTTTTTTTTTTTGTAGGTGGGGTTTCAAGACAGGGTTTCTCTGTGGCTTTGGAGGCTGTCCTGGAACTAGCTCTTGTAGACCAGGCTGGTCTTGAACTCACAGAGATCCACCTGCCTCTGCCTCTGCTGGGATTAAAGGCATTCACCACCACCATCTGGTGTGAAATGAAAATTTTAAATAGAATAATCAGAACAGGTAAACAGCCAGTAAGAAGAGGCAGAGTCAGCCTGCAGCTTCCTGGCCAAGAGTGAAGAATAGAGGCTGGGATCATTGCAGGCTCACTCAGACTGGACATAAGTCAATCTTATATGGCTATAGTTTTTGGAAGAGCTGAGGTTTGCTCCCCAATCCTGTTTCTAAGGCCCTGCGCTGACTAGTTCAGGCTAAAGAATTGCCACTTAGATAGTTAGACTCAGCAAATCCTAACCCTTCTCAGCACCTCTCTCCCTGCCCCCACCACCCCCACCCTACTCTGTGCCTCTAGACAAAATACATACTGTGATCTATTGAGACTGGAGAAAGATGGGAAACAATCTGGCTTTCAGGGGCTCCATGTCCCCTGGTTGCCTTCTCTCCCTAGGGTTTGCCTGGCCCCAGAGAAAAAAAGGAGAAGCCCTCACTGGCAGGCAACTGGGGCCTGTCCTGTAGCACACACATCTCTGTGTCCTATTCGCTGACCTACACATAGTTGGGGCTTTCTGCTCTTGCCATCTGGTCACTTGCTGGGGCAGCAATCCCTCTATTCTGGACTCCTAAGTCTGGGGAGAGATCACAAGTATGTGGCAAGAGCTCTAGATGTTCTGCAGAGTATGGAGCCTGTCACCAAGAAGTGACAAGACTGTTCTCTGTAGGAGAGGCTGTCAGGTCTCCCTGGAGGACACAGCCTGCCAGGGACATCTGCCTGGGACATCAGAGCTATCACTATATAAATCCCAATAGCAGTTCCCTCCCCAGAGGGTACCCCTTCCTATTCCATGTTCGCCTTCCACATTATCCCTCCCCCAAGGTGAGAAGCCCCACTGGCCAACTTATACTTCTTCAGTGTCCTCTGAGAAGCTCCCTCCCACCAGGAACAGCCACTCAGCTTGTCTCCCTGCTGTCTATAGGGACACCAGTGCTCTATACCTCAGAGGATGTACCAAGGCCTCCTGTGTTCACCACACTTTTCCACCACCCAGCTTATGGAGGCGTTTTCTGGCCAGCCTCTTCCCACAGGCACCCTGCCCTCAGCCCACTTAGTGACCCGCCCAACCTGCACCAATCCTCTGTTCAATTTAAGAACAATTGGCATTTGCTGAGTTGCCACTATGTGCAGGGGTTGCCAGGGGCAATGACAAGTGTTAGTTTCGAAGTAGACAGTGTTTCAAAGTTAGGACAAGAGAGACAAACAAAAGTTCATTTCTTATTTCAATCACCTTTATCAGTTTTGTTTTGTTGTTGAGACAAGAACTTGCTATGTCACCTTAGATAGCCTGGTACTCCAGCTGTAGCCCAACTTAGCCTGGAACTCATAGCAATCCTCCTGCCTCAGCCTTCCAAGTGCTGGTATTGCAGGCATATGCCCCTATGCTCAGCTCTAGGATTGCTGTGCTGAGACCTGATACACCTAACTGAGCTGTATCTCCTACCGTCAACCAATTTTAATGTTATTCTTTGTGACCTGGCATGAGCACCATCTCAACCCTCTCCCTGTGAGGCTTGATATTCCTCTCCAGCATCCCATCCCTGCCTTAATGGGGTTGCACACACAATCTCTCTCTCTCTCTCTCTCTCTCTCTCTCTCTCTCTCTCTCTCTCTCTGTGTGTGTGTGTGTGTGTGTGTGTGTGTGTGTTATTGGGCTGAGGATTAAACATGCTGTAAAGAGATTGCCTGCTTGGCAGTGGCAGTTCACGCCTTTAATCCCAGCACTCGGAGACAGAAATAGGTGGAACTCTGAGTTTGAGACCAGCCTGGTCTACAGACTGAGTTCTAGGATAGCAAGGGCTAAACAGAGAAACTGTGTCTCTAATCACCCCCCTCCCTTTTTTTTAGAGAGAGAGAGAGAGAGAGAGAGAGAGAGAGAGAGAGAGAGCCTCATATGCATCAGGCAGTAGGTTCAACTCCTAGTACCACATTTTAAAAATTATTTAATTTTGGGATTTGGGGTCTTGAGAATGGCTCAGTGGTTAAGAGTGCTTACTGCTCTTTCAGAGGACCACAGTTTAATTCCTAGCTCCCATGTCAGTTGGTTCACAACTCCCTGTAACTCCGGCTCCAGGGAATCTGGCATCTCTGATCCCACATGCACTCATGATGTAATTAAAAATAAAATCTTCTCAGCCAGGTGGTGGTTGTAGCACATGCCTTTAATCTCAGCACTTGGGAGGCAGAGGCAAGTGGATCTCAGTGAGTTCCAGGCCAGCCTGGTCTACAAAGCCAGTTCCAGGACAATCAGGACTGTTACACAGAGAAACCCTGTCTCGGAAAATAAATAAATAAATAAGTGAAAATCTTTTTAAAAATGTACTTACTTTTGAGTTGTTTTCTCACTATACAGCCGAGACTAACCTAGAACTTTTTTTTTTTTTTTTTTTTTTTGGGACAGCTTGTAGAACTTTATTTTCCTTCCACCTTTTTTTTTCCCCTTTGCTCTTGATCCTCTTGCCTCAGAGTACTGGAATTCCAGGCATAGTCCACCTTTGCAATAAATACTTGCATAATAAATGTGGTGGTAGGTTGCTGCAGACCCGATCAGGAGAGCATCTCTCTTCCCAAGGCCCTCTAGCAAGCTTATCTAA